GGTGCTCTCTCTCTCTCTCTCTCTCTCTCTCTCTCTCACACACACACACACACACACACATACATATATACACACACTGTGTTGATCCTGGATGGGGGTGTACATTCATATGTTTTTGGTGGTCATACAGGACTACTGCAAACTTATCCACCCGCTATTACCCACATACAATAGAAAAGCAGCCACAATAGAAGTGCTCAACGGGTTTTTTTTTCATTTAAGTACACTGGTTATTTTCAAGATAAACAGCTACAATGGATAATCTAGGTAGAAATGATAAAAGTATATGGACGGGTCTATGGGCACTTGACATCACATCAAAATCAAGCCACCAAATGCCGCTTAGATTTAAGTTCATTGAAGACCTGACAGAGGTGATGAGTGCAGACCTGGATCTGTTGGAGGATGTTAAATGGATCTCACTGAATCCAAACCCCAAAACAGGCTGTCAACAAATGGCATGAACTCCTTTCCAATCTGGATCAGGCTGCCAAAGCTTCTCCACAATCTATGGAAACCAGAGCTATTGGACTACATTGTGGTATAATATCTATCGGAAAGCTTATTTTCAGTGGACAGCGCCAGAAAAAAGAGAAAACAACTAGACTGCGCAAGCTATGAGAGGAAGTTGCACCAGATTTGAAACTACCCAAAGATGTGTGGGTTATACAAGATGACTGGTAAGCCCTTTCTTCAACAAAACCAGTATGAATATATATCTAAACCTTGCACACATTGTTAATTACTGGACCTCAACTCACTAAAATGCCCTCAGCTGAACTATTTGGATGTGGGTGAAGCCAAACTAAAGAAACCACGATTCAAACTTGCCATCAAGAATGGCTAGTAGTGGAAAAAAGGGGGAAAACATGCAAGTCAAGGAAAGGTGCGAAGTTTGCAGCCCTAACGGCTCATCTACGTCAACCCATCAAGAGCAGATACATAATCGTCAATGAAGAGAACTTGATGCAAGTTGGTGGAATGATGGAGAAAACCAGGCCAACAAAGAAAAACACAACCAAAAGCTTTCCGCCATTAGGACATCGAAGTCAAGGATGGAAGTTTGCCAGATTACAATAAGCTTTTATAGGATTTCTTGAAGCTGAAAGAGCAGGAATATTTGGGGAAAATATTTTATTTGATGAAAACAGTTGGGACAATAAGGTATTAGAGAATTTCTTGAAGCTAGAAAAGCGGGATATTTGGGGAAAATATTTTATTTGATGAAAACATTTGGGAAAAATATTGCCAAGCAATAACAAAACAGTCTCACAGAGAAAATAATTGCTGGAAAAGTTCAAACCTCTTCATTAGGTAAGCATAGATATAAATGTGATCTAAACATTCCATTGGGGGGAAAAAAAGTCGATTCAAGGCTGCTAATCCTGATGGATAATGACTAAAAAAGGTCAATCTCACCTTTAAATTTGGATCATGGTGCCCAACACTCCCAAAATTCAAATACTCAAGGGCTCTATCCACAAAAAATGTGAAAGAGATCCTAACTTGGAGAGGGAAAATAGAATTCAAACCTGGAATGAAGGAGCTCCACAACGAAATAGCATTCAAAATATGCGGTACTACATGTAGCATCACATAACATGCTACAAGCAGCAACACAAAGGTGCTACCAATTAACAAATTTATAAGATACTACCACATAACAACCACAAATTCCCCTGGGCAGTATCTTAAAGAAACTGAATGTGAGGAGTATGAGATGTGGGAAATCCTCAATAACAAGATCAAAGAAAAGGGAATAAGCATAAAAACTTCACTCAAGAATAAAGATTTCATTAGAATAATGTATCGCATGCAACATTCGTTTCTAAAGGCTATGAGGATGTTCATAACTTTCCATCCTAATACATTAACATAACTACTTCTAGATAACTGTTAAGCATGCACTCCACCATATCTATCTTTTTCATATTTATACAAGGGTAACTCAGTAAAAACCCCATTATGGTCAAAATTAAAAACGGATATAAAATCATGGAACATATGGTATGAGCACTAGTGTTCTAAAATGCAGCCGCATCAGGCGTTATGCACTGGCAGTGCATAGCAAATGCCTGTATATGTGCTCTGGGGAGATGCGCCCGCATATGCGCCGTATCTCTCCACATATGCGGCTGCATCCCACATTGGGCGCATAATCTCTCATATGAGGCCAATTTTACAAAATGAACCCCTCGGACAGGGGTAGTTAGGAATTTTGACCCCCAAAAAAGGAGGGAAAGGGTTTGGGGGGTTATTATACTCCAAACATCAACTTTCAGCCACATCCGTGGCTTTTTTTTGGATTGCATTAATAAAAAAAGTTTTGGCGGAAGTGAAGTTCTTCGATTTGTATATTGGTTGATTCATATTTGTTGATTTGTATCTTTTGGGTGTTAATTTGAGGAAGTTTAGGCGAAAATGTGACAACAAATCGAGGGTGTTGTATTGACTCTTCTTGAGCTTGACTTTTGAACTCTTTAATCTTCATAGACTTTTAGTTTGTAGTATTTTATAATTTTAAAGTTTGTGGTTGCAAATTTGTGCTTATGGTTGTTGATTGTTGAATGTTTTATGAAGCTAGTTTCAAGTATATAGTTTCTATCAAGGGATAGTAGATACAGAATCTCCAACAGCTAATACTTTTAGAGTAAATAAATAAACTAAATATCTACTATCACATATATCACCTCCATATTTTTTCGATGCATTAACCTATTTTTTTGGATTTTTTAGACTTTTTTATATTTATTGATTGCATCGCAGCTATGCACTTGCATCAGCCCCCCCAGTACATACAGCTGCATCTCGCATTTTAAAACACTGATGAGTACTACTTCATGTTAATTGTCCTTGATTTTAAATGAAGAAAACATACACACTATTTGGCAAACTAGGAGTTTGACGGTGAGCATGATTGACTTGAATTAAGATATGTTTGGTTTGACTCATTAGAGAGATGAATAAAACTAAGTTCCTCCTATAAATTAAATCTTCCAAAAAGTATAAAAATTTGGAACAACTAAGAATGTACAAAGATTTGATAACTTCCAAGAGATAAGAGGGAAAGAAAAGCAAATTGACCAATTCAAAAGAACACAAAATATTCAATGGATAATGCATATTACACTATACAATGCACAATCCATAAATTATATGGATTATGCAACTCAATTAAAGCATTGAGATATGCCGATCTAAATTTCTAGTTCAACAAGTAAGATATCTATAGTAAGGCCTTGAACAGGAAATTTTTTCAAATGCGGATCCAGATAATAGTCATGTTGACCTATCAGTATCAAAATGCACCTATCTTGGATGCCTAGGGAGGCAACCCTCGGTGGGGCCCCTCTAGGCTATTGAGGCAGGAGTCTAGTGCATAGGCCAAGGAGCCCGCTTGGATGCTTTGGATGCATATGAGTGTGTGCATCTCGTATTGTAGGGCAGAGAGAGGGAGAGGAAGATTATGTAACATAAATGTGTTGTGTGATCAAGATTCCAAAAATGAAAAATAGAGATCCTCCAAAGATCCCTATTCCCTAAATGCTGGAGCACGTTTCTGAAGCAAGATAGCCACCAAGGTTGGGAGATCCCAACCAGTTCAGTGATTCCATGTCTAGCATATCCAATTAAATCTTGTGATGTGCAAAGATTACGAATAACTAAAGAATTTCCACACCCAGTGAGCAAGAAAAGAATCCAAATGTCTTTAGTGCCACTTTCATTTAAGAAAACCTACGTAATCTTTACTAAATAATTACCAAACTAGATAGAGGAAATCCATAACCCCTTTCAGACTGACTAGTAAAATTTGACAGGTCTCCCGACTCGAGGAGAATACAAGTTTCTAGAATTCTGAAATTTCTCAAACCATCCCCTTCATGTACACAAGAGAATGTGAAATTACTCATTTCAGCAACCTAATCATTGAAGGTGAAATTGAGAAGTTGTGAAAATCCCATAAGAACAAGTACTGTTGAAAGTGCACAGGATAGTGGGCGGCAATGAAAATACCCTTGAGGTCTACAACAAGCATGTATACATTTCAATGTGTAGAGTTTTCTAAAATAGTAAAATCAAATAAACTAAAACAACATTAGAAGTCCAAATAAGATGGCAAAAATATATAAAACATTGATTTAAAAATATTGACTTGTAGCTGGAGACATTTTAGATTAACCCAAAAAAGAAATATGAAAATAGGGCATATGACAAGAATCATTTCTTTATTCCTATTTGGACATA